TTGTTTGATGTTTTAGCCATATTATATTTGTATTTTCTTGAGTGAAAATGTGTAAGTGTGAGAGAGTTCTCATGTGTTGAGATCTGAGAAGTCGATCTGTTAGTTCTTGAGTGATCTGAGGCAGATCTATTGATTTCTTGAAGAGATAAGTCTCTTCCCTTGTGTATCTTGTGTTGGCCAAACTTTGTAATAGTTGTTGCCCCTTTTTTGAGGCTTTTAGTGCTATCGAGCAATATCTATTTTGATTGGATGCTCAGCAAGAGATTAGGTGTTTAAGCACTGAACCTCTGGGACTTCGGCTGAAAAATATGCTATGTTCATTTTACTTTTCTACAAGTTTATTTTCTATTTCTGCAATCAACTGTTTCTTGGTTTAATTGTGTGGGTTTTTGGCCCCCCTTTAGTAGCTCCAGGCTTAGAAAAAATAAATGTCGAATTTGAAGATGAGATGTTGGAAGTAGATGAATACAAGAAGATAATAATCTTGTAGTTGAAGCCATTATTGGAGGGGGAAAAGCTGGAAAATTGTGTGCTTATTAGGTGACTAGTGTTGTTGGAGATGAAGCATTTGACAAATGATTACACAAGAAAGCAAGATTGGGGTGAAAATTTAATAGCATTTGGTTTGATTAGCAATGCTTAATATCTAGACTTCTAATGGTTTGAGTAATGCTATTTGCAGTCGCTCACCGTCATAATCGCCTTATGTGGCATACATGTGATGATTAGTGATTTGATGCATTTATATAGTAGTTTTTTATTGCTTTATGCATCGAATCATTAACCGCCACATGTATGCCACATAGTGCGATTAAGATAGTGAACGACTGCAAATAGCATTATTCTAATAGTTGCCTATTTGCAAGTACCAAACTATCAAAAATATTTGAAATAAACCTGGAAAGAACTTCGCAACTATGCAAGAAATAAAGAAAAAGAGAACAATTTTCAAACATTAATAACAGTAATGTTAGAATGTAATGGGAATGAAAATGGTACATATAAAAAAAATTTAGAATTGTAATAGGCATATATTTAGAGTGTAGATATATAGTGTTTAAATGAATGAATTTAATAAGTATGATTTTGAAATGTAATGGGGATAAATATAGTATTTTTTAAAAAATTTAAAATTTTGGTAGTGATTGATTTAGAGTGTGATACATGTATAAGAATTGCGGATGAAAATAGGCCCTTCCTATATTATTAAGTACTTAAGATAATTAACAAGAACTTTAGCAGTCCTAAACTCTCGTCTCTAGGATTAAATAGTTTTGCCAATTCAAAAATGAATGAACATATAAACTAGTTAATGACTTAATGTGCACAAAATACTAATCAGACAAAGAGTTGAGACAATTTTTAATGTACTGTAACGTTTCCTCCAAGAGAAGGTGTAGTTAATTATTTGACAATAGAAGAGACAACTGATTTTATTTTTTATGAATCTATGTTACTTTTTTGTTAAGGTACAACTGTTTTTTTAACCAATGAAAACAATCTCATTAATCTGTACCAGTCCTTAGTAATAATCGAAATTGAATTAGTACAACCAGTTTTCAATCTTCATATATATCGAAATATCCGATGTTTCCTCCTCAATTATGTGAATCAGTCCCCCTCTTTCTAGATTAATTGATGTCTGTGGTCACGGTAAACACTTTACAGGTGGGTTACAGGTTCCGGCCGACTGATGAGGAGCTGATTAACCACTTTCTGCGGCTCAAGATAATCGGACGTGAACAAGAAGTTAGTGTTATTCGAGAAATTGATTTGTGCAAATATGAGCCCTGGGACTTGCCTGGTAACTATGTTATATATTTTAAGATACACTATAAAAGTAATTGTGTTTTTCTTGGAATTGAAAAAAAAAAAAGGGAGTTCATTTTTGAACATTTTAACTTACTGTATGTTGAATTTGATGGATGCTGGAATTATATATATATATATATATGAATGTGCGTTTATATTTAATTTTGCAGGTCTATCTAGGATAGGGTCGACTGATGATGAGTGGTTCTTCTTCTACCCGAAGGAAAGAAAGTATCAGACTGGGTCGAGATTGAAAAGAGTGACAGAAAAAGGCTACTGGAAAAGTACCGGTAAAGATCGCGACATAACTTCTAAGAAGGGGGAGAAGATTGGGACAAGAAAGACTCTGGTTTACCACACTGGCCGTGCTGCTGATGGCAAAAAGGCTAATTGGAAAATACACGAGTATCATGCCATTGATAAGTTGCTAGAGCCAACCACGTATCCCAATCAGGTTAGGATTACTTTTTGTACGTTGGATTTCTCTGCAAAATTGTTTTGTTCTGTTATCTGTAATATTTTTTACTCGAGAAAGAAAGTGGGAAGGAAACACATTATTAGCAGTAAGTAAAGATTTTTATGATATTTTTGTTTTGTTGTATTGGCATTTAATTAATTCATCCGTATCAATTCTTTGGTTTATTTTCTCTTTTCCTAATCATCGGTGATTTGATGTTTATATAGGGTGACTTTGTCGTCTGTCGTCTATTTAAAACGACTGATCCGAAAAAAGATGACATAACTGAAAGCTCAAACAGCAAAGAAAACGAACATATTACCACTACTTTACCTATTGATTGGCAGGACAATGGCGGTGTTGATGAGACAGTAAGCCCCACGTTACCTATTCCAGTGAGTGAAATAACAAACTTCTGCTTCAAATAATAAGCATTCTAGTTTTTAACAAAGATAAATAGCTTACAGAAAGTTAAAAGTTTTTTCTTCGTTGTGTTTTCTTCAGCCTCACTCACATCTTGATTGGAATATCTTACCGCCGTTACCTCCACAGATGCTAGAGGAGATTGAGAATTCTTACCTCTCTAACATCAACAGCAATCACAGTGTTATGCCATTTCAACGTGAAACAGATGCTTCTAATATTGATGAATTTATTAACTCTGTTCTTGTCAGTTCAGACGATTGTCCCAATGAAGATTCTGGCATGTACAAAATGTCATTTCTTGAAACAGAAACTCCTAATCACCTTAAACCTCTGGGGTTTAGAAAGTCATCTAGCAAATCACAGGTGGAGGTTCCCAGAGAACAGGTAAATGGAAGTTGCCAAGGTTTCTTAAGCTTTTGTTTTTCAAGTTTACAGGACCATCAAACTGCATTAGTGGCAACATATTTGGACGCATATTTAGTTCTTGCTGATTGAATACTATCCATTTTTCATGTTTTGTTAGCCCCAGGTCGAAACATGTGTTACTTTTGAAATGGAAACTGCTGAGCAAAATGAACAGAGACTTCCTCATGCTAGCGGTGATTACCATCACAAAGACCTGATTGAGAAAAACAAGCCTTTAATGGAGAATATTTTCTCAGCAGTCTCTTCTGGAAATCAGATTCTTAACTTGTCAAATATAGAACAATCAGTTGGTCACAGCAATGTGGTGGGCAGTGGCAGCACTATCGGAACTGCAAATAAATTGAGTACTCAACAACCTCCAAATCGAACAGGTGCCCAAAATTTTGAAGCAGGGGAAACTGCTCCTAGAAGAATTCGCCTGACAGAGAAATTACAAATTGGATCTATTGACTGTGGCCTGCCCAGGGTTCAACTGGATAGTGAAATAAGCATTGAAGGGGACCCGGCAATAATTGAGGTGATATATTTTCCCCGTTAAATGCATCGACTTTTGTAGTAATCTGAATTTTATTAATAGGATTTGGTTGTGCAGAATGATAAATCTACAGATGTTCACACCTCGAAGGATTTGGACGAAACAAATAACATCAAAGAGCAGATAGCTAACTGCTTGAGCACAAAAGTGAAGCCCCTGAGTGATTTACAGTG